AAAAAAAAAAAAGCATAATTTGGATTGTACTTACCAGTTTGAGCTAAGTAAGTTCTTCTATTTTATTATTACAGTATGCTAAAATGAATGTTGATCGGATGGACACTGGCATACAGAATGATGAGATTAATGAATGCTTGGAAATGCTTGATCAAGTCCCGTTAAACATCCTACGTAAAGCTGTTGAACGGGATGTCTCTATCGGTGGCATCAAATACTACTGTGAACTAAATGATCAGATTCAATTGGTATGTTAACACTAACATAGCGTTTTGTCTGCTAGTCAAAAAAAAAAAAAATTTCAAAAGTATTTTCTCATCTTAAAAGTATCCAATTTTTATTTTGGTACTGAAGCTTAATGAAAAACTTTTTGCCTTTTTTCACTTGATTCTGTGTGTGTATGTTTTTTTTCTGTGCTGATTTTGTTTTATAATCTAATTAATTTTATATCTTTAGAAGTTTTATCTATTAGCAGAAAATTTGGTTAAACGGTAAGAAGAAAACTAGCATAAAAATAAGTAAAGCAAATACATTTTTAAAAAATGGTAATAATTTAATTATCAGATTCTTTTCTTTAACTTTTCTCCAATTTAAAGAAGCAAATTGATTGAAATGTTTCGTGAAAATCATTAGTGCTTTATGCCTTTTATAGACAAAACTTGCACCGGAACTGTGTTTAATTGCGCTAAAGATGGGCCATTTTAAACTTGGTGCTGAACTGATCAAAGCATTTGCACCCGAACATTTTGCTGTCATTCGTCGACTAATCACTAAAGACAATCAGTTTGTGTTAAAGGTAGCAAAACGTTTGTATTAAATTTTTCAAACAATCACTGGTTGAAAATAATTGTTTCAATTATTTTAATTTTTTATTTGGAAAGATTAGGGTAGTTAAATTGAACGATGGAAAAAGTAAGAAAAAAAACAATGAGGAAGCCAAAAAATAAAATTTTTAGGATGTCCAAAATATGTCTACAGCGATGATAAAAAGTGATAATTTAACGCTGCTACATTTTGCTGCCACATATCCAAATATCAAAGTTATTAAATCATTGCTGTTTAAAGATGCTTACAACTGGTTAATACCAACTGAAAATAAGTGGTACTGTTAGCAACTTTTTAGCTAAAAATTTTGCTGGAAAGTTAGAAGAAGAAATTAGATTCTGTTTTTTATCAACCGCTATTGGAATCTGTTATTTATTTCAATTTTTTCTTTTTTTTTTTTTTAAATTAAATTTCATATTTAAAGGACTGTACTACATTATGCTGCTGTTTGTTCATCCAGTAAATTGTTGCGATCACTGCTGACACAGTTGCCTACCACATGTATTGGTATCAAAAATGCAGATCTGGAAACCATATTACATTGTGCTGCAAGAGCTGGTCGAGTTGAAAATGTTCAGGTATAAGTTTTACTCTTTAAATTGATAGTAAAAAATGGAAAGAAGTAAAAACAAGAGGGTTTATTTGTTTTTTTTTTAGCATAAAAATATGAAATGTTGAGTAGACTGCCGATTAATCAACTGTCAATATTGTATAATTTGCATAAAATGTTGCAGTTAATTTTACGGACTGCTAAAGAAGAGGAGTGTAGATTAAATACCGAAAATATGTTACTAAATAGACCACTGATACGAACAGTATTTGGTGATGGTGTACTGCAAAATTCATCATTATTTTCTGATTTTAAAGTTGTCAAAAATTTATTATCTACAAAAAATATTGACGGCAAAACAGCGCTTGATTTGGCCGTTGAATATAACAGACTGGAGGTAATTGTTCAAATACAGAAACTTCTTCTTCTTTCTTTTTTTTATTTATTAGTTATATATTTGTCTTAGAAAGTAAAAAATGATTTAATTTGGCAACAATAAGTTTGTTTTTGAAGAAAAAAATGCTTTCTTTAATACTAAATAGATTTACTTCTATTTATTTGCCTGTATAAAATTGATATGTGGAAAAATGTAATCTTTTTTTCTGGCAACGTTAAAAGGGAAAGGTATTATAATAAAATGTCAAAAAAAAAAAAAAAAGGAAGTTAAGTGCAACAGTTAAACTTTGATATAACAGTAATAGTGATGTTATTTTAAAGGACAAATCGGGGTTTAATTTGATAATATAATGGTTGTGTTTTGATACATTTTTAGTACTAATAAACTTATTTTTTGATTTGCTTAGTTATAAATACTTTAAGTTTCTGTCGAAAAAAATCAGTCGTCATTTTTGTTTTTATTATTTTTTTTAGGTAGTTCAAATACTTCAACAGGCAGCTGCTGCCTACGATGATGACAATGATGAAAAGGTGTAAAAAAAATTATTTGCTGCTGCCGTCATCAAATTTGCCTTTATTACTTTTTTTTTTACTGTAAACAAAACTAATTAGTATCAGATGTGTAGTATTAGAAATGTAAATACAAATTAGAAATGCCAATTTAAAATATTTTTAACATAGAACAATAGTTATAATGTAGAATCTATTGCTGTTTCCTGTTTAATTTATCATTGTTATTATTGTCGTCGTCAATTTCGTCGTTATTGTTGTTTTTTGTT